GCGGTCTATGTTATGTCCGGTAAAGAAACAGCTAATATGCCCGTTCTAATGGAACACATGGAGTGAGTCATTCAGTAAGCAAAAACATGCAAGTAAAACCGATACGTTGTCATAGGTAGGGTTAACCACTGACTGTGTTTGCCAGAAATACAAAGGCAGCAGCCCCACCCTCAGCCAGATCCACACATGCAGTTCTGACAAAACAAACAGCAATATACTCTAAGTTGTTCCTTTAAAATGTACAAAATTCTGCAAGTAAGATAGCTGCTTACTCAAAATTACAGAACCAATAGCATAGAGTCTAGTAGTACGTACCTGGTAAAAGTAGTTTTAAACATCTCTGTTTTTATGGCAATTTATGTTTGATTTATCAAGTAATAGATCAGGGCTTGATTATAATTTCAGTCCAAAGACAGATTTTTGAATGGATGAGGAAACCTCCTTAATACAGTGTAGTCTGTCTACCACTTCCAACTTTTGGAAATGAAGAATAACAGGATTTCTAGTGGGATTACAACTTTATTCCTCTTCCTCCTAACAGTTGGAGTAGGAAAGAGTTCCCCCCAATATATTTTTCTGTATTCTTCCTTGAGAATGCTTCCTGATCTTGCTGTGTATAAAAACATGGCTTTCTCATGACCTATCTAATGGACATGTCAGCTTTGAGAGGTACTTACGTTAATCTGATGGCCACGCTTTGGTGACTGCATTGTGTATAGGAAAGCTTGCAAGTATCTCATATATGCATAGCTATCTATATTTCAATACATTCAGTGTGTGATGTCATCAGAGAACAAAGCCCTGCACAACCTTGCCTGAACTCACTGTTGACTCTGCTTTGAGCAGGAGGTTGAACTATGTGACCAGCTGAGATCCCTTCTGGCCTGAATTTTTCTATGACCCTATAAGTACAAACTTCTTGACAGAATCTACTCTTCATTGAAAATGCAGTGGTTTACATCTTCATGATCCAAGAAAAGTTTCCTTTTTTTCACAGGATTATGAGGCTGGGGAGCTTCTCAAGCCTTATAGGAGATGATTGTCTGGAGAACTGCAATGTTTTGAAAGTGGCACGGACTAGATGACCTACTATGTCTTGTCCAACCACAATTTCTATGAATCTGTAATTTTGAGGTCAACTTTTTTTTGCCCAATTTTACAGTTACTTGACTCCAGTATCAGGCATATTTTGAGAGACCACATTTAGTCATGGTAAGACTGTGGGTTGTTCTTTTTTTAGTTTTTTTTTTTTTTTTAAATCCTTCTCAGGATTGTCAGCACTTAATGTATTCTTTCCTGTTCCAATGCCACAAATAATGTTCCTAGTCTGTGAAGAAAGAAAAGTTTGATTACACATTTTGGAATAGATGATTAATTAAAAAAAGCTGCTCCCAAAACTGTTGCAGTTCTTTGTCAAGTCTTAGGATAGTGCTACTGTTCATTTATACTAGAAACGCATTTCCATCACCAAAAGAAGGGATAGTATTGGGAAACAGTGTATTTGGTAATATTTTTAGTTTTGTTATCAGTGACTGTGCGAAGATTCTTTAGAGCAAAATATCTGTGTAATTTTGAGGATTGAGAAAGACTCCTAAATAATAGTAGCCTTGGAAAAGTAGCCTTTTTTTCCTCTCCTCTCTTTCTCTGCAAGAAGTAACATCTTTTTTTCGGAAAGACGGCACCTGTCAGCAATAGCTCTTAGCTCACTAATACTCTGATTGTAAAGAAAAACTTCCCAGCCTCTGAGTTTCTTAAATGTCCTATGTGTAAGTTCCTCAGGACTTACCTGTGCTTTCTATTCTGATCTGCTGCTTGCTTGCTTGCAAAGTGCATTAAGCTTGCCAGTTTCATTTTGATTCATTTTTTTGCCTACAGCAAACAAAATGTGTAAACAAATCAAGGATTGCTAAGACTATAGGCTTTTAGCTTTGCATTTGAAAAAACAGAGGTGTTCATGTATGTATGAAGGCATATTACACATACACAAAAAGCAAACAATCCTTCCTAGCTGGTTCAGTGTCACTTAACCTTGAATTGTTCTGGCATCTCCTAAAGAACTGGAGATTAGAGGATTCCTCTCCAATTAGCCATAAAACACCATTGATGCTTCTGCAACTTCCTTGGGGGACTTCCTTCTCTTTGGTTCCATTTAAATAGAATGTGAGCCAAAACTTATACATTAATAATGCTGTTGTAATCATTAAATGTGTATATTAAAATTTGTGGAGTAAGGTAATCTTTAGTAATGATCAATGAGTTTATTTTTACCTGACTTAACATATCATATGTGGTATTCTTATAGCAAGGGCAGTGGATTCAATGAGAGGTTGTTCTTCCTTTCTTTCTTCTACCATACATCCTTTAGAAGGATTTCTATATCAAAAATGACAACTATCATTTTTCTCATAGTGATTTGTTATATTGTCTTTTTGAAAATCCTTGTATTTAATACATATTTCTATTTTGTATTTAATTCCCTTTTTTCTAAGGATGTTTTTGTCCTTACTATCTCATGTTTCTGCTGCAACTGAGGATAAATTAAAATAATTATAACTGTTCTTTTTATAGCATCATTTTTCTTATTTTATAGTTATCATGCTTGCTTGCCTTTTCATTGGAAAAAAAAAAAAAAAGAAGCCTGTTTATATGAATTTTAGCTTGCCTTTCCAAAATTGCTTTAGTTTCTGTTGCACTCCTCTGAATTTATTCAGTCTGTCTTTTTAAAACACGGTGCTGAATGTAGAATACACTTCCCCCATTTGAGACTCAACCATTTCTGAGAAGGGCTTAATATCTCTTGCTGAGAAAATCTGCTTTTCATACTGTGGTCCTTGAAGCAACTTCTGGTAGAGCCTGTGGAGCCTGTTCACATGGCTTTCTAGGTTTCTAGCTGCTCATATTTCATGCATAAAATAACTATTTGTCTTTGTAAAGCCATTTTTTCTCCAACACAGTTGCTGTGATTGCTACTTGAGTGCTATGTTTCTTGAATGCATGGGTTTAGGCTACTCACTACTAAGTTATTTTTAAGGCTCTTGTTAAAATGCTGAGCCATACTAAATGTATTAGATGTATCTCAGGTGCATATTTTAACACTAAATTTATTCTAAAATTCGTAGATTAGATGAGTTTCTCAAGCGTGTATGCAAAAAGAAGAGCTAGGAAAGTATTTTTCAGCTGTTCTCACAAAAAAACTCTGCTGGCTGGATCACGTATATGTTTAAGTATATTCAGAAAAAAAACTGTGATATGACGTAAATCAGGTTATGTGCAGGGCTTAATGAACCTAGGAGTACGTCAATAATTGTTAATGTTGAAAATCTGTTACTAACACTTTTTTAATTAAATAGAATGTCATTCTAAAGTAGTTGTATGAATGTAATTATTTATATTCTTCCCTGCATCAGAGCTCTTTTAAAATCAATAGAAAGACTCCTATAAATTAAAGGCCTTGTAAATAAAGAAAAAGAAAACATCAGGAACTCCCAAGCTGTTACTAGAATTTCAAATCTAGGTTAAATTTTGCAGTATTTATATAGTTGTCTAGTTTGTGTTTTGAATGACATTTAATAGTTGGCAGTGCAAATATGTTGGCATTCTGAGTTGTTTGTGCATTGCTGTCTGCTTCAGTAGTGGTATTCTATCTGTGTAGTTTCCATTGATATAATTTGTGTATACATGTCTTTGAATAGTATTTTGAAGCTGTGAATGTTAACTTAATGTATGAATGTTTGACCAATTAAGGCTAACATTGATTGATAAAATACCCAGCTGTCTTTTTTCCAAAAAAGAACACCTTTGTGGTCCACGAAAAGATATTTAGTTCTTCTAGCACACGTGAATAGTGGACAATATTTTTCTTTTATTTAATCAAATCTGTCCACTTCCATTTTGACAATGCTGATTTAATCTAAAGTCATCAATAAGAACTTGGAAGTAAATTCGTTAAACACTTAAGGTGTGTGTCTGAATTGCAGTTTTCCATGGGTAATGATTTTTAGCAGTGGATATAAACTGAACATGTCGACCTATGACTTATTCTAATATTTTAATTCAGATATTTCCTCCAAACTTTTTCCATTCTTTTGTTTCTGAGAATGTGCCTTCACAGTAATAAAAGTTTGCCCAGTCTGTAGTCTACTTAAACTGAAGTCAATTCAATTTTTGCAGCCATTTCATCTTTTTTATAAAGATAGTGAAAGTTTTTTGATCATCTTTCATTCATGTATCAGGAGGAAACGTTTGAATATCTATATTTAACATACCCTTTCTTGAACACCCATGTATAGCTTGAATTCCTTTTGTTAGCTGAGTAATTTATCTTGCATTTTTGCAAAAGGAACAGCAGTTTAACTAAAGATATATTAAAATGCCACAGAAGTCAGGGCTACAATTCAAAAATGCTGATCAGTTTTTTAAAATCTAAATCAGCCCCTCTATGAAAACTAGGGAAGGACCTCTGTGGTAGCAGAAAAATTTCCAGAAATTCACCACAGTCTTTTTCTGAGTTGCAGTTTGTGCTGATGTTGCCAGACAACTAAGAAGAGATGGGAAAAGCAGGAAACGTTTTTGGATTTAATCACAGAGCTGATTTGGAGAAGCGACTTAAAATATATAAACGTTTTTCTAGTGTTAACTCGTGAACATAAAAGTACAGAGTATATTTTAGATTTTATATTCTGTTAAATTATATAAATAGATCAGATCTTATGTTCATTACTTATGAAGAAAAATCTTCAATTTTTGGAATCTGGTGGTATGTCAGGAATCCTGCTGCTCAGACTTAAAATATTTTTTTTTTTTTTAGCTATCCAAATGACTGGGTTATCGCCTGTTTTCAGTACCATTTCTTGAGGCAATGGGGACTTGATTGCTGTACTTAACAGCAACAGACAACCTCTGAAGTATCTCTTCCTATTTTCCTATCTTGAAAAGCTTTTTCTCCGTTCTTATCTTGAAAATATCTTTGCTGATATTGCTGGGCAATGCTTATCTTTTTCCTTGAAGATTTTTTGAGATCCATTCTAAAAATACACAATTTTGTCATTTATCTTGGTGAATATCAAAGAGTTCTTTAAGGGTGATTTTGCAGTTTTAGCCTTTGCATCATCTGTGTGATAATGTTCTGAAGAACAACTTCTTAAAGAAGTTCTTGCAGAACTTGTAAATTAGGAAGATTTTAGGTAACCTCTGGAGATAAATACTTGGGTGGAAGACAGACTATTCAACCTAGATGGGAAGGTGATGAGATTAGGGGGAGCATATAGATGAGCTAGGATGCAGTTATATCTGAAGTGAAGGTCCCTACTCACCTGACATCTAACTCATGTACAAATATGTGAGTCATTTTGTTTTTAGATTCCTAGCTGGTCATAAAATCAAGAGACTTTTCTTATGAGACTGGCCAATGAAACATACCCATTTTCCTGCAATGGAGAGTGTTGTATTACTTCATACTGCTGAGCTTTAAGGCTTGACTGCTATAACAGATTCTACTTGAATTTATTCTTTAAAACTAACACCATAGCTTGTGTTTTACAGTTTTTATTGATGTTTTCTGAGTAAACTGGATATAACAGTTGATGGTTTTTGTTCTTGTTTTTTAAATCAAGGTTTCTACTATTTTCTAGTACCAGTTGAAAGATGGATGACGACGACTTTGGAGGATTTGAGGTATGGTATTTTGGTGACTTAATTTTGAAATGTAGCTGTTCTTCAAGAAAATGGTCTTGAGAGTATTCTTTTCAAGAAATGTATTACACCTGTGCTTCTATTAATTATAACCTCATAAAAAATTTGTCATGCTATGACTTGAACAATTGTATACTTCAATAATTGGGACTAATATCTTTTCTTAGGTAAAGCTGAAATAGAGGATGATAAATATCTTTAAAAAAATGGTCCTTCTTTAAGTGTTACCGTTTTCTAGTATCATAAATTTGTATTTTTTAAAATAGATTTTAATAACTATACGTAGCTGACATTTGTCAAGTAATAACATGCTATACACACATCTTTTACATCTCTGTGTATATCAAATGTCCAGTCTATTATGTTTCAAAACTTCCTTTGTTTCATTGCCATGAGACTCAGTTATACAGCTGATTGTGAGAGTGCTTAATACTCCCATTCTAACTGGGGCCTTTGTTGTGTGTGTGCTTTATACATGGATACGGTTTATACTTTTATTTCTCTCTCTGTACTGTTCTGACAAATAATATTAAGATCTGTATGCTCAGTGTAATGAGATAATAACATATTTGTAAGTTATTTGTCCTTGCACTTTACACTAGTGAAATATACTTGAAGGCTTTGGTAAATAATTATTTTAAACTGTGTGTTATAGGGATATATAGCATTTTGTAAAAAATGCTACAAAATGATTTTTTCCACGTTTCTAGGCAGCAGAGTCCTATGAGTGTGGAAATGGTGAAACACAGACTACATCTCCTGCTATTCCTTGGGCAGCCTTTCCTACAGGTATTGATATGATCACTATCAACGTTCTTTTTCATGTGTTGCTGTTCTTCTATATTGATTGTAAGAACTAGTACTTAAAAGGGTGCATATATGCAATTAAAGAGCAGCTACTATGTGGGCATCAGTGAAAACCTGGCATAAGAATGTCCTGAGTAATTATTTTGGGAAGCTGTGCTTCTTACAGTTACATTTTCGTGAGGACTGTAAGTCGGAAGGAGAGCAATTTATCCAATTCAAAAGCTGATTGGCATCTTATGAGAAGAAGAAAAGGAACTTCTTTCAGTCAAAGGATATTCCTACTCTTAAGTATAGAATGTCTGTTGCAAATGAGAGCTTTCTAAAGGAAGATAACTAGAATGTTATGATCAAATCTCCTTTTCTTTTGTAAAATCTAGCTATTTTTAAAAGAAAAACCCTATTTGTAACTACGTACAGGTGAACTATCACAGGATGTTCTTAACAAATATTTATTCTCAATCTACCATGCGCACTATATTTTGAAATGTCTAATGTGCTAGACATTTCTTTTCCTTGCTTATAAACATTGAAGTGTAAAGTTAAGTATTATTCGAACTTGAAGTTCCACTATGCACAGTTCTGAGGGAAAGGAAAAGGAAATGTATGAGACTTGTATATACTTCTCAATCTCTTCTATAACTTACACTGTAAAGTCTAAAGATATTCTGAATTTAGAAATGAGTACTGTCACTCTCTTTGGAAAACATTGTGCCATTGCAAAGAAAAGATTCTCTATCTAATACTTTCTGTCTAATCTAGTAGTTATAAGTTACAAATATTTATTATTCTGCCTTCAGACTTACATAATTTTGTGAAACATTTTCAAACTCAGTTTTCACTAGTGATATCCTCAGAATAAAAGACAAAAAGGAAGTGAATGAAGTTGCTTAATGTTTACTTATGTCTATAATTTCCTCAATTTCAAAGAAGAAAAGTGCATATATGGAGACCTAGCAATTATTAACTTTGTAATTTCTTAATGTTAAGTAAAGTATAATTTAATAGCTGCTTTGCGCTTGCTGTGTACTCAGAGTATCAGTATGATGAGGAGTTAAAGTAGGTTGTTTGTATGATGTAAATTTATTTCTGAGCTTACTCATAGACAAGATCTTTCTACCTTTGAATGTTACCACTAACCTCTGCATTTGAGAACTCCGTTACAAGCAAGTCTCCCTTTGTAAACTAACATATGTTATGTAGATTTGTATGTTTACAGTTCTACATACTATACCTAATGTATATTGTGTTGCTGAGCCTCTGGGACAGCAGCCCAATAATAAATATTGCTTATGTCAAAAAAAATTTGCTGTGTATCCTCCTGTCTTTCCACACCTCCCCAGCTTACCATATTGTAATCTTCTCTTACAGTGTAAGTAGGACAGTACATTAAGCAAATGTTACGGTTTCACATTTAATTTGATTGCTGGAATTTAGTCTCGATTTCACAGGAAGAAACATCACTTTAGCAGTTTCAGAATTAAACTTTTTATTCTTCTGTCAGGAACTGAAAATTTCTACCTATGATTGTATTATAGTACTGAATAAATTATGCAAACTAATATAGTTGTAAAAATCACCCAGAAATTTATAATTTGTTTTAGTGGTCATTGAAATAAACAAAAAAAAACAAGAAAAGCATATTTTCAGAAATACCTTTATATAAGAGAACTCCTTAGATTCATTAGCATATTTGAATGTAATTTTACCAAATTAAATCTAATGCATCTCTGTAATATATATTTCATAGTGTATAATATAAACCAGATGTCATACACTTTCATATTAAGGTATGTAGCATTTAAATGTTTTGTAAGATTTGTAAGTAACACTGAATTTTTTGAGGTAGGTTATAGCAAGTTATTTTAAGTGTTTTAAGGTTAAAATAAAAACCCTTGCATTTAGATAATGTTATTAGTTTAAACTCTTACCATGCCTTTTTCATGCATGGGAATGTTGCTGAGAATAAAGTAACTTATTGTAACAGGCAATATTTTGGTGGGACTGATCAAAATGCTTGTTAGGCATTGACTTGTGAGTTAACACTTTTAATGGGAAAAGTCATTGATCTGTGTGCTTAATGCTTTTTATACAAAATCGACCTTACCTTGCCCTATAAACTTGTCAGTCAATAAGCTTTGTTGAAAAATGCTTGAAATTCAAATGCATTATGGTGTTGTAAAGATAAATTTGGGGAGTGATCCCATTTTACAAACCCAGGAATCCCTGAACTTTATGGGAAGGGGGTATATATTACAGATCTCATCAATTGCCTGCATATCTGACATTCATAAGATAGAAGAAGGTATAAAACAAAACACTGAAACCAGTTTTAGTATTTCCTAGTGTGCAAGTTTAGCAGATTGGATTAAAAGGTCTAGAAATCAGAATTTATTTCTAATGTCCCAGTGTTGATTACAGTGAGTAATACTGCCCTTGACATTTCACATGGACTTTTTATGGTCTTTTTGTGTAGGGATTTCACTTTCTCAATAGATTTACGGTGTGATAAAATATGTTTATTAGTGTGCATGAGTAGTCTTTTCTGGGAGGTTCTTTAGATCTCAAAATGTTTGTTTGTGGATGCTGGTTCAGAAACGGATTAAAATAAGAATTCAAACAAGAGAAGTGGTATACCGTTCTTCCTCCCACCAGGGTAATTAAGAGAGAATGTACACCTCTTTCCATAGTAGGGTTCTCTAGCAGTGTGGCCTAATAAGAAAATACTGTTTTTACTCTAAAGTTAGAACAGATTTTCTCTTTCATTTCTTGTGGTCTCAATTTGAATCAAGGACCCATCATACTGGCTGCTGTTTAAACATAAGGATAGCAAATGGGGCTGCTCCAAAAAGCTTAGCTCTGTGGAAAGTATGCAACACAAACATGAAGGAATGAGTAAGGAGTGAAAACAAAAAAAAACCAAAAAAAAAAAAAAAGGATGCATTTATGCAGTCTTAGATATCTAACTGCTTAGATGTCTTTGATACCACTGTTAGCAATGTTTGAAAAACAGCCTGCTGTATCAAGTCTGTTCCTTCTGGCTGTTTTAACTGAGGTGGATGCAAGTAGTGCTTCTAGTTTGGTGTCATTGTATGTGTGATAGATTCCCTTTTTCCTTTCCAGCCCTAATATGGGGAAGTACTAAAAAGACCCTCTGTGGTATGCCCAGTGTCTGGGCTGTGGAGGGCTGTGAGGGTCCTGCTCAAAACATCAGCATTTTCTTATTATGGATTCAGTAAATTTACTTGTAAGGGTGGAAGATGGACACCTCCAAAAACAATCAGATTGAAATTAAGAAGTTGTTCTCTGGAAAGATGAGACTTCAGCAAAAGAATAGAGTTTTAGATCTTATGTTTAGGCAGTTCAGAGTTGAAAGCAAAAATTGAACTTTTGTGAAACTTTAAGTTAGAGATTATGGAATGTTCTAGTGCCTTAAAACTAGTCCTCCTGATTCTCAGTAGAGCTTCAAAGGGGCTGACTGTATTAAGTTTTATGACTGGCTGGAGACTTCATGATTTTTTTTTTTTGATTTTTTATTGTAAGACACTTTACAGTGTTTTTTGCCCTTTGAATTCATAAACAGTTTTTTGAGATGAAGAAATGCAACAGTTATGTTGGTCCCAAATTTCATTTATTAATATTAAGCATTAATATTAATATATAATCTGAGCTCTTTAACACAGTGGTGGAATCTAACTGCTAATGTGTTTGTGTTGACTTTAAAGATGTTACTGGAGACAATTTGATATACTTTTTTATTTAAGACAGTAACTCTCCAGTATTTTAAAGGACTAGAATGTTCCTTTTAACTGAAAAGCAAGGTTACTTCAATTAAAGAAACTATTCTTAAATTAGTTTTGCTTTGTTTCTTCTTCAAGTACTTAGTAGCAGAAATTTGTTTCTATGCAGCCTAATAAAACCACAAAGCTATAGGGTTTTTGCGTGTGTATGTGTTTGTGGTTTACTGCAGTGCTAGAAATGCCTACCTTATGCTTTCTTTGTTTTTTTTTCCCTCCGAAGATAAGTGCAAACTGACGATTCTTCTTGCACTTCTGTAGATATCAAGTTGTGTACTTTTGTGCCTGTAAGGAGAATCTTGAAATTTAGCACTGTGCTTGCATGTCAACTGACTTGAGTGTCATCTCATTTTCTAAGGTTACGAATAATATGTCTGTCATCAAGAGTGAATGGCAACAACAGAATCTGGGTCTCTGCATTAGTATGTCAATGTTTTGTTTTGGCAGCGTCTCTTTTGTAGCTCTGGACTTCAGAAGGAGTCTGTGTATTGGAACAGATGGGGGGGAAAAAAAAAGCTGTGTGCATCCTTGCTCACCAAAGAGGAACTGTTTTGACTGAGACGGAGCCTCATGAATCTGGTCCATTGTAGACTGTTCAAACTAAAATAAAAACTGCCTTAAAAAAAGGGAAGGGGGGCAGGGCAGGAGATGCTTTTTCAGTGAATTCCAAACTGTGGATTCAGAACAATCATGCTTACAGCAGTTAGTTGTAGAAGCGGTGGTTTTATATGCAGATGAGGTGACAGTATTTACTTTTTTTTTTGCCTGGTTTCCTGGGGAAATGAAGCTTATGCTATTGCTTTCTGTCCCTATTTCTCCACTATTGGTTTTGAGTATGTGTGAAAGGTGTATAGTCTCCATTAATTACATTTCTCCAGGATGTGTGTGTGTTGTTGTTTTGTGTGTTTTTTTTTTTTCCCCTCTAGTCAGCAACTGAGTAATGATAGACATAGTGCTTCACCAAATGAAAGGACGGTTGGACATTCAGTTTTATAAAAAATGCCTTGACATTAATCATGTTTGTAGGTTTAGAAGAGATATAACCTAAATGTAGTTATAACCTAGTACCAAGGGAGATGAAGGAACTACAAGAACTAGAGGATAAGAACTCACTTGTATGGAAACCAGCACTAAAGTGTAAATACCTTAATATCAGTGTTTCACGTGAGTTGGTGACCTTCATTTGTT